ACCCCGACGTCACCGGAGCGCACACCTCGCTCCCACTGCGCACACACGTGAGGGCAGCGGCTGGGCACAAAAAACCGGGATTCGGGGTGTCCCAAGCACAAGGACACAGCCAAAAGCGTTCCCCGGGACTGTCCCAGCTCCAGGGCTCACACCGGCAGGACAAGGAGGCCACCTCCACCCGGGTACTGGCACACGTGTCCCCAGGCTAGGACAAGGCATGTCCTCTGCCTGCATGGGGACACGCTGCCTTGGTGGCAGGCGTGGATTAAAATGAGCATTTTTGCACTGGAGGAAAGTCCCCCAGAAGCAAATCTGGCTGCTCAGGTGACATTACACTTTATTTACTCTTCTCAAAAGAGAAATGTGACCTCAGCCTGTTTCCAAAACCAAGCATTTTCACAGAGTCGTGCTTTCAAGCATCTCCTTCACTTCCCTAGTAACTTCTAGACAAAATTCCTTATTAAAGAAAAGCAGAGTTTGGGCTAATTGCATCCAGAGCTGACAAATAAACCCCCAAAACAGGCTCTAAGATAGTTCTGTTTTGGTCCTACACGAGTACAGAGGAGAAAGGGTTGGGAGCATCCCCTTGGAGGGCAGGGCTGTGCTGGGGGGAAGACTTGGGCCCAAAAAACAAAGCAGGGACCTTACAGGAAATCCTTCACATTCACAGCACACCCAATCCTGACAAAGCTGGAGGGACACAAGCCTTGAAGGAATCAGGCTCCAGCAGTGCTGACACTTGGGGAACATCCTGCTGGAATTTCCTACAGCATTGCTCAGAACCCACATCAAAGAAGGGTCCCCCTAAGAGTTACTTGTTTCCAGGTGGTTTTGTACAAGTTAAAAATAAGCAAATTGTAGCATTTCAGTTCAAGAACTTTGGAGGGGTGAGGGGACCTGGATTGCTCCCCATCCTCTCAAGGTAGGAGTTGGGAGGCTGGAGGGCACAGGAGCTCCTCTGCTGACAATCTGTGAGAACCAAGTAAAGCCAGGGGGAAAAAAAAATCCTGCAAATGCAACAGCAGAGGCCGGATATTGGAACTGTGGCCATGTGGAGGAAGGGAGATGCACAAAGCTGTCCCGACTGACCCAGCAGAGGGTGAGGAGCATACCACGGCTATTTTTAGTCTGTTTACAGTGCAGGGCTGGGTTGCAGGCAGGGCCCCAGAGCACCCCAAGTCCCAGTGCCCCTGCTGGGACACTGCAGATCCCCCAGCCCTGGGAAGGTTGGGCAGGTTTGGGACCTTTGCAGGGTCACCCTCCTGTTTGTTTGGGGCTGTCACGTAGCAACAAAGGGCAGAAAAACTTTTTTCCTTTTTAAACAAACGTGACTGTGAGGATGATGACTCTTGGATGTCGTCAGCTGGGGCTCAGCAGCAGGGCTGGGCCCAGAGCTGCTGTGGGCTCCTCTCCTGCAGGAGCTGAGCTGTTCCTAAAGCTGACTTTCTCTGTATTTTCTATTAAAAACTGCAAGAAAAGCAAAGCAAGGCTGCCACACCGAGCCCTCCTGTTCTGTCCTGCTCAGAGCACCCCTAGGAGCTGGCAGGGTTTGGGGTGCACCACACTCTGTGGTGATACTGCCCATCCCACCATGGCCAGACCCCACTGTCACATCCCTCCCTGGGGACTGAGTGTGGCCACTCTGAAGGACCACAGGGAGTGGGAGCTGTGTGGAAGGGAGATGCACAAGCAGTGCAAGTTTGCAAGGGAATGTGAACCACTCTCTCCTAAGGATTTATGGCCCACCATGTCAAGATAGCAGCATCCATTTTATAAATTCCTTTGGGCTCCTGAGTTAGGAGAGGCCACAGTAGCACAGTCACAATTAACAAGGATGAGTAGCCATCATTTCTCATTAAAACATCTTCCAGTAATTATTCAGCTAAAAGCCCCAATGAACTCTGATTTTCTGTGCAAGAAAGGTTCTAAAAGAACAGGAGCAGGCTGGCACTTTTTGATGTGATTTTCCTTCAAATCACATCAAATCAAATTAACTTTGCAAAAACAATAGGCTGAATCTGGAAATCATAATTTTATGGTATTTCATGCCAGGAGAGATCATTCTAACAGGACTCAGTCTTCCTGAGCCACCTGAGCTGTGGGTGCTGGTGGCAGAAGTGCCCTGCCATGGACAACACCTGGCAGCAAATTTGGGAGGAAAAAGGAGAATTGTATGGTCACCCCACAGAAAATACCATCACTAGCAGCAGCTCTGACACAAAGCAATGCCTAAAACAGATGTACATGGCAAGGCCTGCTTTGATTCCTCTCCCACCTGCACCAGTTAAATCCAGTCTAATTCCACTGCCTGCTCCAGGGTTACAGCTCATTTTCATCTCTCTAGATTGGGTGCCCACTAGGTCTTGTTTAAGACTCTGTCTAAACCAGATCCCACAAAATTCCTTCTGAAAATTCCTTTGAAAAGCACAACTCACATCTCCAAGCTCCTCAATTGGCACAGAGTGGCCCAAACTGGGTCCCTGCAGCCAGGGACCCTCCTGGGACCAGGGAGAACCTGGGAGCTTTGTGGCTCCCCCCTCCTGCTCCCCCCTCAGACCAGATAATCGGGGGAGTCACAGGGACCTGACAGGTGACAAATAGGATTGTTTACCTGGCAGGAGTGGGGACAGAGCGAAGCCAAGGGCAGTGAACATCAAAGGAAAGAAGCGTGGGGGGGAGAGGGATGCACGGGGAGGATGTGCAGAGAAACAGCAGGCCTGTCTTTGAGGGTCATAAAAGAGATGGGTTGGGAGGGAAAAAGGCAAGAAGAAAGAGAAACTGGAGGTGCAGCTGTGTTTGGATGGCACGTGGGAGGTGGAGGGGAGAGGAAGCAGAAGCCCAAGGCCAGGCAGAAGCAGGAGAGGGCATTTTTGGGGCACAGGAGTGGAGGGGGTGTAGAGCAGATCTGGGACACTCAGACAGCAGGACAGGGATGGCACCATGGGGCAGGGGAAGTGCAGGGACAGGTCCTGGAGCAGCAGAGCTGGGGGAAGGAGAGGGCAGCAGCACGGTGGAGGCTGTGCCACAGTGAGTGGCACAGATATGGGGTGGGGCAGGATGGGAGCTGCTCCTGGAGAAATGACAATGGTCACCTTGGGGAAGGGCTCCCTGAGCGGCAGGAGCTGCAGCAGATGTGGGGAAAGGCGGTGCCATGGCAGGGACAGAGGGATAACACAGGGCAAAGCACAGCATCCCTGGGCCAGGAGGTGGTGGCAGCTCTGGGATGCCAAGCAGGGACAAGGTCTAGGGCAAGCACAGCTGCTCCATGAAGACAGGCTCAGCACTCTGTCCAGAGATTTACCTGGCAAGAGAGAGGTGAAGCAGCCTGGGGTTTAGGGAGCTCAAGGTCCCTTCCAGCTGAGGGTTGGAATGGGGGACAGCCAGGGGGGAACGGGGGGATGGCAGGACAAACCCAGGCCTGGCTCAGCCTGGCAGCATCAAAGGGCTGGGCAGCACTGGAGGCTACGAGAAGAAGGGACTGGGATGGCTGTGAAGGGCTGAGCTGGGCTGGGGAGTGTGAGGGTTGTGAGGCTCAGGGCCATGGGCGCTGTAACGGGAGGAAGGCTGGGGGTCAGTGGCTATGGGGGCTGTAGGGCTGAGAGCCATGAGGGACCAGCGCCAGTGAAGGACATGAAACCGGGGCTGGGGAGACTGTGAGGGGCTGAGCTGGTGCCAGGGGGGGTGTCGGAAGTCAGGCCATGGGGACTGCGAGGGGATGGAGACAGGGGACAAGTGGCTGTGGAGGGCCAAGGGGCCGCGAGGCGAAAAGCTATGAAAGGTCAGAGCAGTGACGCCGGGACCATGAGGGATCTTGTTTTGTGAGGGTGATGGAAGCAGAAGCTTTGGCTTACGGGGTGCTGGAGGGGCTGTAGGGGCCTGTCCCTGAGCGGAGCCTCACCCCGCCCCTCCCCTCTCCCCATCCACCACCCCCGGGGCTCAGTCTCCCCTTCCCTCTCCGTCCCTGCCCCTCCCGTCAGCGCTCACCTCGCTCGTGCTGGCCGAGGAGGCGGCGCTGGGGGTCGGCGAGCGCTGCAGGGTGACCAGCGCCATGGCTGCGGCTGCGGGGCCGCCGCCGCCTCCCGCTCACGCCGGGAAGGGGCGGGGCCGTGGGCGGGGCCTGCGAGGGAAAGGGCGGGGCTGAAAGGGGCGGGACTCGGCTAACGGGCGGGGCTTGCGCTGGTGGGCGTGGTTTGTTGCTATGGGCGTGGCTTCTCGGCTCACCCCGCCCCCAAATCCCGCCCCGTGTCACCCCAATATCCCATTCCATGGCAGGGACATCTTTCACCTCTAGCCCAGGGTGCTCCAAACCCCGACCGACCCAACCTTGGACAATTCCAGGGATCCAAGGACAGCACAGCTTCTCTGGCCGCTCTGTTCCAGGGCCTTCCCAGCCTCACAGGGAGGAATTTCTTCCCAATATCCAATCTAAGCCTGCTCTCTGGCAATGTGAAGCCATTCCCCCTTGTCCCGTCACTCCAGGTTGTAAATAGTCACTCTCCATTTTTCCATCAGGCTGCCTTCAGGTACTGGAAGGCCACAATTAGGTCTCTCTGAAGGCTTTTCTTTTCCCACTGAACAATCCCAATTCCCTCAGCCTCCCTACTCAAAACTGAGCCAGAAGCTCTCAACTTTTCCAAATCCCACAGGAATATCGTGTTCAAGAAGCAGCTGGATGTGACATTAGTGCTCTGGTCTAGTTGACAAGATGGTGATTAGTCAAAGGTTGACCTCAGAGGTCTTTTCCAATCTAAGTGATTCTGCAAATGCAGACGCCGAGAAGTCACAGAATCATTGCCGTTGGCAAAGACCTCCAAGCCCATGCCCACTGAACACATCCCTGTGTCCTGGTCCACCAGTGGTCACCATGGAGACAAGTGGCAGGGATGGCGTTTTGCCATTGATGGTGGTGACCCTGTTTTCCATGACTCCAGGGCCCTCTGCCAGTGGCATCACGTGGGAGCTCCACCTCCCCAGAGCCAGAGCAGACTTTGGCCCTGCTGCTCTGGACCCTCAGACCTTGCCCTGCTGGGCTGTAACAACAACTCTGACTCTGAAGCCTTTGGACACGGCAGTGACTGCTCCGGGGACCCCACACTCTGCAGGTAAACTGATGGAAAATGGGTATTCCCTTTATTTTTTGGCAGATCCTCCTCAGCTGGTGCTGCAGGGGCAGCTGGGGTGAATCCCTGTCCCTGGTGAAGGAGCTGACCCTGGTTCCCGAGGGTTATAAAACCACAGCAGATGGGAAGCAGCTCCTGCTGTGCCATTCCAATGACTCATCCCTCCATCCCAGCAAATGTCAGTCCCGCTGTTGTCGCAGCAGAGATGCTGGACTTCACCTTGTCCAAAAAAACCTGTGAGCTGGAATTTATTCCTGCTTCCAGGACCAGCCAAGGATCTACACCCCCAGCCCTTCCCCAAACTGGTCTTCGTCCCCTCCCTGCACAGGCAGTGACCACAGGGCTTTTCCAAGGTAGGAAGGCGCTGGGAACCAGAGGATGGAGAAGGGCTGCAGACCCTTTTTGCAGGCAAAATTTACTCACAGCCATTCTCTCAGCTGTTCCCAGAAGGGTTTGGGGTGGTGGCACAGCCACTCTCATGTGCAGCCCCGAGGGTGACAATGGTGTGAGGATCCAGCCTTGCACTCATCACACCTGGCATTGCTCCCTGGAAAACGCTTGCTGCTTCCCATCTTTTTTATCTGTGCCCATTTCTTGCCTCCAGTGGCTGGGAAGGATTGTGAGCTGCTCAGAGCAGGGCTGGGTCACTGGGAACGGAGGGTTCACAGTGTCCCTCAGGAGATGGAGCTGTGGTGGGTGCTCCAGCACCTTCCTGGCTGCTCAGCCCATGCTAGTGGGACACAGAGGCTGTGCCACCCTGTCCCAGGGCAGGACACACCTGGAGCTCCTTGTGCCAGGTGAGGAGTGGCAGCTGAGCTGCAGTTTTCCTGCTGGCACAGCCAGGGGTGGAGACATTCCCCAGCCACTGTGAGGAACCACAACCCCTCATCCATGATTCCAGCACCTGGTCAGAGCTTGAGAAGCTTTACAAGGAAAACACACAGATGCACCATGAGGACCTCAGCCCTTCCCTGCTGCTCCAGCAGTGAAGCTGAGGCTCTGCAGGAGCTGATTTTCCCCTGTGCTGTTCCCAGCTTGTCCAGCAGCCCCAGCACTGCCCTTAGAACCTTCATCCCTTGCAGGAGCCGGAGCCATGCGTGTGGCCATCATCGGGGCCGGGGTGATCGGGCTCTCCAGCGCCCTGTGCATCCATGAGCAGTTCCATGGCCTGGTGCCTTCCCTGGAGCTGGAGGTCTACGCTGACCAGTTCACCCCCCACACCACCAGCGATGGGGCAGCTGGGCTGTGGCAGCCCTACCTGAGTGACCATGGCAACCTGCAGGAGACGTAAGGCAGGAGGAGGAGGAGGAGGATGGTGCCGTGTCCCTCTCCCTGTGTGCCATGAGCTGCCCTGGCACAGCTCCGTGGGGCTGGCAGAGCCACCACTGTCCCATTCTCATCACAGGCTCTGGAATAAAGAGACATTTGATTACCTCCTCGGGCAGCTGCACTCTCCAGCAGCCAAGGAAATGGGACTTTTCCTCCTTTCTGGTTACAACCTGTTCACGGAGCCCGTGCCGGTAAGGAGCAGGTCACAGCCAGGGCTGGGAAGGGCTCCAGCTCAGCAGCTCCTGCAGTGGGCAGGGCTGTGCTTCTTCCCACCCAATGCTTCCCAATATTCCCAAGTTTGCCTTGTGGCAGTGCCTGGGACGTGGTGTTTTCTGTGCTCCTGAGGCAATATTGGTGTGAGCCCTAGGAGAGTGGGAGTGACAGAGCCTGTCCAGCTGTCCTGTGTCCCTCTGGGATGGGCTGTGTCCCATGATCCCCCCACAGCTTCCATCCCACGGTGATCCCAGTTCATTAATGATCTCTGAACTCTTTTTCTGCTGTAGGACCCATCCTGGAAGAACATTGTCCTGGGGTTCAGGAACTTGACACCAAAAGAACTCGAACTCTTCCCTGGTTACAGGTATTTTTCAGTCTGTTTTTTGGACACTCAGGTAGGACAGTCCTGGATACCTCCAAATACAGCCCTAGAATGGGGCAGTGGGACAAGGAACTGCAGGCATAGAAACATCCTCACTTCTTTAAAACTGCTTCCCTTAAAATAAGTAGGAAACTCAAATGGCAAAAAAAGCAGCAGCCCAGCACAGAAACCATTCCAGCTCCTGTCTTACCTCACCAGCGTCAAAATGGGGGAAGAAAAAAGTAAAAAGGGAGAAAAAATCATGCACTCATGTGAGGAGGGTCCCAGGGGAAATTGGGAAGTGGCTGTCAGGAATGTTGGGGCAGGATGCTCCTGTAGGTTCTCACAGCTTCCTCTCCTCCTGTTTCAGCTATGGCTGGTTCAACACGGCGCTGATGCTGGAGGGCAGGAGATACCTGCCCTGGCTCACCAACAGGTGAGTGCAGCTGCTCCTGTTTCCTCTGGCTGAAGGTGTGGGTTTTCATCCTGCACATCAGGATAGGGTAGGCAGAGATGCATCCCTAGGAAGCAGGGAAGAGGGTCTGGAATTCTTGTTCATTGCCCCAGTGGGGTGTCACTTTAACAGTGAGCCCAGGAGTGTATTTTTTGCATGACAAAAATGAAAGTAATGGGATGCTTGGAGCTGCATCCAAGCACTTTTGTCTTTGGAAGAATCTGGGGCTTGATTTTATTCCTGTAATTTCTAATGCTGAGCAGGTGTCCTGGTATTGAACATTTGCTTTTAATTTGTCAGTAACAAATGAACTTGTGCTTCCCAGGCTGACGCAGAGGGGAGTGAAGTTTTTCCATAAGAAGGTTGAGTCTTTCCAGGAGGTGAGTGGGGATGTGGAGTCAGGGCAGAGGGCACAGCCCCATCCCAGAGTGGAGAAGCAGCATCCAGCAGGGAGATGCTGCTCCAGGATATTCCTTGGCATGAGGGTTGGGCCAGGGAACAGCAGCAAGACTATGCCAAGATCCAGGAAATAAATTCTGCCAAGAAAGAAATAGGGTCTTGGGTATTGAGGGATGGTTGACAGAGGACAGGACAGAGCATTTATGCAGCATGGATTGGCAGCTTTCCCTGGAATGGCTTGGTGGCACACATGGGGTGTCAGCAGGAGCTGGCTGGGGAAGATGCACCCTGGATCTGGCCCGTATGGTTTATCCATTTCCTGACTGTTGGAAAGAGAACACTTGGCTCATTTGGAAGCAGGAATGTTGTGCCTTTGTGTGCTGCTCCCAGCCTGTCCCTCTCTCCTCAGCTCTTTTCCCAGGGTGTGGATGTGGTGCTAAACTGCAGCGGGATTCGTGCGGGGCACCTGCAGCCCGACCCGGAGCTGCAGCCTGGCCGAGGCCAGATCATCAAGGTGAGCTGGGGCAGGCCTGGGGACTTCCCAAAAACCCTTCTGATACCACGAGGAGAGTCTGTGCCCTCTGGGGAAAACGATGGGCGTGTGGCTGGGTTCACATTGGGATCAGGTGCTGATTCCCAGCAAACATTGCTCACGTGAAACCAACCAGGATCCCATTCCTGCTTCAGCTCTGGGAATGCCCTCAGTCTCCAAACTGTTTCTCCTTAGGGTGGGAGCTGGGGGAGGTCAGAGGCACAATGCTGATAACAAAAAGACATAAAATCTTTGGGAGAAGATGGGATTATTTGGAGAAACACAGGCGAGTAGGAAGCTCGTCCCTACCTGCACTCCCATCTTCCCATCTTCCCAGCACAGGGAACACAGAGCTAAGGGAGGGTCTCATATCTGGACCCTCGTGTCCCTCCTGCTGTGCCCTAAGCCTGGCAGCCACTCTCCAGCTCTGACTTCCTCCCTTTCACCTCCCAGGTCCTGGCCCCATGGGTGAAGCATTTCATCATCACTCACGACTTGAAATCTGGGATCTACAGCTCTCCCTACGTCATCCCGGGGTAGGTGACGATGGCTGAGGCAGGGCTGTTGGCACTGGTGACATTCCTCTGTCAGTGTCCCCAAAGCCTCATCTGGGACATGGCTCCTGCTGGTGTCTGCCAGGTCTGGCTCATCCTTGGTGCTTTTCTTGGCTGTGTGGGAGGAGAGCAGAAGGACGTGGGCAGCAAAGCGAGGGAGCTCCCAGTCGGCACAGAGAGCTCCCTGCACCGCGGTGCTTCCATGTCCTGTCCTTTTCCAAGGACCAAATCCCACCAAAGCAAACTCAATCCTGGCCAAGCCCCCAGAACAGCCAACCACTGACAGTGGAATGGATATTTTAGGGGAGATCTTTTGTTTTCACATTTATAGTCATCTTTATTATCAACTAAACTGTAGTGCAGCAGCTCAGGGTGGGCAAAGGCACTGCTGATCCATGCTCCTATAAAAACAGGACAGGAATTCTTTTACTTCACCAAAACCTCCCTGGGAAAGCTCAGCCTTGCTCTCACTGTCCCCTGAGCTGCTGCTGAGCCTGGGGGCATCTCACTGGGTTTATCATAGAATCATGGAATATCCTGAGCTGGAAGGGACCACAAGGATCTAGTCCAAGTCCTGGCCCTGCCCAGGGAGCTACACTATGGGATAAATAAATCCATCTGCTGTTCATCCCAGCTCTGCTTCCTCCCAAGGGGCTGCAGTGACCCTGCCCTGGCAAGGGAGAGGGGTCTTTAAGCTGCAATTTGAATGCTGCATCTCTGGCACTTCCTATTGTCCTAATATTTCAGGCTTAGGCAGTAAGCCAGGATGTAAACAGGAGCTTTGCAGGCTCACAGCCCCCATGCAGCGTTTTCTGAGTGATTCCTGATCACAGTCCCAGCCACAGATGAATTCCTCTGCCTGTGCTTGTTTTAGCTCGAGCTGTCAGAGCTGAGCACCAGGCTGATCCCAAAGGAAGAGCTGGATCCAGTGCTCATGTGGAGGGCACCCCTTCCCTGCTGGAGAGCTCAGCCCTGGAGGGTCCCTCCTTCTGTTTTTCTGCTTCCCAGTGATCAAGCAAAGTTTTGGAAGGATCCAGCCAGTACAGACCCCTCCAGGCCCCCCCTGAGCCTTAACCTGCCTCTTGTCCTCTGTTAATCCACAGGAGTTTGGTGCAGCAGCAGCACCAATCTGTTCTCTGTGTTCCCTTCCAGAGCCATCCTGTTCCTTCTAGCTCTTCCTGAGCCAGGCAGGAGCAGACCTGTTTGATAAGGATGGAATTATCTGTCTGCTTTGCCCAGACAAGGAAGGGCTGACAGGATTTAAAGAGTGACTTGCTCACGAGCAGACGTGCAGGCACCGCTCTCTGCCTGCTCCGTGTGGGAGTTTGAGTTTCTCCCACAGGAATATTTTACAGGCTCAGGTTGTAGCAGGATCCAACATCACATTCACACAGTGTCCCTCCATGTGGTGGCCCCACAGGGGACAGTTGGGGACAAGCCACCACCGTGTGTCTCTTTTGGCTCCCGGTGCAGGAGCGAGTTCACGGTCCTGGGAGGGATTTACCAGCATGGAAACTGGAGTGAGGAGAACAGTGCCAAGGATCACAAATCCATCTGGGACAGCTGCTGCCGCCTGCTCCCGGCTCTCCAGGTGGGTGACCCGACTGCCAGCGTGGGGCACAGGGAGCTGGGGGGGTCAGGATGCAGGAATGGGCACGGGGACAAACCACAGGACCTCAGTGTTTCCATGAGTTGGGTTTTCATGGATACCCGGGGCTCTTCGACCTGGCTGAGGGACAGGCAGGGCTGGCATTAAGACAAGGTTTGTAGGGATAATAATTATTTATGTGGCTGGTAAAAATTAGAACGAGGGCTTTGGGAGGTGGCAGCCCTTTGGTTATGGTGTCCCTACACCTTTAGAGAAGGGTTGTGTGGGGTGAGACAGGGTTGTGTCCACTCCCAGTGCTGCTGTTATTCCCTGGATTAGCAGGAAAAGTGATCTGGGGCTTTGCCATAGGGATTTGCCTCAGCTCCAGGCTGGCATTGCCATCCCAAATTGTTGTACTTGGAGCTGCTGCAGGATGGGGAACCCCTCTGTCCCAGCTCATCTCACCTGGTGCTGTGAGGTTTGGCTGGTGGGATTCCAAGGAATGCTGTGCAGTGCTGATGTGCTTTTGCTCACAGAAGGCAAAAATCGTCGAGGAGTGGAGCGGCCTGAGACCAGCACGGCCCTCGGTGCGCCTGGAGAGGGAGAGCATCCGCCTCGGGAATCTCCAGGGAGAGGTACCTGGGGCTGAGTGTGATTAATGACTGTGTTAATTGTGCCCCAGTCACCGTGCCTGGGGCAGTGAATAACAAGGCTTGTTTCCCTGATCATCCCTCTCTCCATCTCTCCCCACCAACAGCGAGGGAATCTTTGAACCCAGGGATGAATGTCAGAGATACTGAAACAAATCATTGATGTGGCTGCCCCATCCCCGGGAATGCTCAGGGATGGGCTGGACAAGGCTTGGAGCACCCTGGGCTAGTGGGAGATGTCCCTGCCCCATGGAGAGATTCCCCCCCAACCCATGCTGGGATTCTGTGCTTCTCCCCCAGGTGATTCACAACTATGGCCACGGCGGGTTTGGGATCACCATCCACTGGGGCTGTGCCATGGCAGCAGCTCGGCTTTTTGGGAGCATCCTGCAGGAGAAGAAGCAGCTGGCCACACCCCCAGGGCCACGCTTATGAGCACCAGCTCGCCTGGAATATGTGACAACAGCAGCTTAGGAATCACAGCAAAAGGATGGGAACAACACAGGGATACACACACAGGCTGCTCGACCCTGCTCCAGCTCTGGCTCTCAGAGTCTCATTTCCATTTCTCTGCCGTTTTCCAGATGGCTCCTCTCCCTCCACAACCTGCCTGGAGGAAGGGCTTTCAAATATCAAACTAATTATCCGTGGCAAAGTGCACCAAGTGCTGTCTGGGATCAGGCTGGGTTCAGCTGAACCCCGGACAAGTCCTGCAGTTCATCTGCACCAGGAGACAGGATGTGAAATGGAGCTGGGACACCTGAGGTCTGTGCTGGCTGCTCCAACACCCAGTGTGTAATTAGATTTACAGGCTCCCCCCCAGGAGGCAAAAGCTCCTTAGTAGGAAGAAGCTCTGAGGCTCCCAGGGAAGTCACAGCAGCTCTGGGAGCACGTGCCTGGGTTACACCAGTTTTCCTCACATTCCTGCCAGGACAAAGCTTGGACCACAGCACCTGCTTAGTGTAGCTGGCACCAGACAGCAGCACTTGCCTAAAATGGCCTTTCCAAACGATGTTTTAGAAACAAAAGCAACTTGTTCCAGCCCTGTGGGCTTGCCAGGCTCTATATATAGCAGAGAGCATAAGAAAATAGCTCTTCCTGTCCCTAAAACTCCCACGGGCCCCTCAGCTTCCCATTTCTCCCAGCTCTGGGACACAGCTCAGAGAGAAAGCCTGGCTTGGGAAAGGTTGTGCCTCTCAGAGGACGAGCAGGACTTTTTGGGGTGTTCAGGGATGCTGTTGGGGACCCAACACACTGTTCTGAAGATACAGCCTGGCTGATTTTCCCATGCCCTGTGTCTTTCCTGCTTTACAAACCGTCCCAGACAGGGCACTGGATCCAGAGGCTGTTCTGGGGCCAGTACAGTGCCTGTCTCACTCTCCTGTGTGGATAAGCCAACTGTTCCTTACTCATCCATGATACAGCTCTGCTGATGAATCCATGTGCCAGGAATAGCTCAGCAGCCTGGAATGGGGGAATGGGGATCCCCAAGTGCATCTCTGTGCTGAGCTTAGCAAACATAGCTGGAAATTGGGAGCCACTGCCCTGCCCAGTCTGTCCAAAGAAGTTCCAGCTTCCCTGGAAATGTTGCAGTCACTGGGTAGAATCAGGAAAAGGGTAGGAAAAGGAAAACAAAGGCTGGAGAAAATTCCCTGCTGATTAACACTGAACTCAATGGTGTGTGTGATCCCACCTCAGGAAAAGCCATTCAGGGGAACTGCATCCCCTTGGTTTCACTTATTCCAAATATGAGACATTCAGGAGCATGGTCTCTGCTGTAAATCCAGCCTCACTTTGGTGATTTTGGGAAAATTCTTCTGGACAACAGGGGGGTAGGAAATCATTGCATACCTGGCAACAAGCAATTGATTCTTGTGATCTCAGAGCCTGCAGGAGCCACTGCCCTGTGATCTCACACGGCCTCTTGGCAAACAGGAATGGGCTGAGCTGTAATTTTATTTGCAGGTTAATTCTGTTTGTTTTCTAAAGGCCTCAATTTAATCTGTGTGACCAATAAAGGGAATGTGCACATCTCTTGTGCATGATGCTTCTTCCTCTTAGTGATGGCATGGGAAGTTCCTCAAATGCTGATTCCATGCAAATGTGCCAGGATATCATCATTCCATGTCTCCACACACATTTTTCCTAAACATTTCATCCTGGAGGAGTAGGAATCATCACTCCATATTCCCAGCAGATCAGGGAACCTGGAATATCATGGTGTGCAGGTCTGTGGTTGCTGACAGTCCTTAGGGCATTAAGAACTCACAGAAATCACAGAATTGTGGATTTGGATGGGAAGGGACCTTGAAGATCATCCAGTCCCACCACCCTGTCAGGGCAGGGACACCTTCCACTAGCCCAGGTTTCTCCAAGCCCCATCCAACCTGGCCTTGGACACTTCCAGGGATGGGGCAGCCACAGCCTCCCTGGGCAAATTCCCCATGGAGGGATTGAAATTCACTGCTGAGGCCAGGGAGAGGTCAGGGAGTCAGGGAATGGGGTCTGGACAATTCCTGCATGTCCTCTGACACACCCCAAACACCATCTCCCATGTCCAGTGTCAGCACATTTTAGGAACTCCCAGTTCTCCACGAGGATCTCCTGTGACCCAGAACAAAGCTGGAAGCACATCAATTGCCAGGGAAGTCAGCAAACAGCAGCTCTGGCACTTGGGAAAATTCCTGCCAGAGCTCAAGGAGCGTTTGGAACACACTCAGGCACAGGGTGGGATTGCTGGGGAGTCTGTGCAGGGCCAGGACTTGGACTGGATGATCCCTGTGGGTCCCTTCCAGCTCAGGATATTCCATGATGCTAAGAATGAGCTTTTTAGAAATGCCTGAGGATGCCAAAATGTAACCACAAAAGAAAGAAGATTCCCCTCAGCATTGCTTCAGCCACACAAAACCTTCCAGTGCCCAACTATTTCCATCCTCAGGAAGGAGGCTCTGCATCCCAGGCTGGGAGCAGGAGGATGGATGCACTCTGGGATGAGAACACCCTGCATTAGCATGAGAAGGATTTGCAGCCCGTTAGTCATTTTGACTCATCCTTGAACCACCTCCTGCCTGAAAATTATTGGGCACCAAAATAAGAATATCAGTGACAAGGCAGAGGAAAATAAGGTTGGGCACTTCATTATGGTTTAGAAAAATGATAGGGAAATGAAGGGTTTATATGAAAATGTAAATTAGTAGGAGGAATCCTCCCTGCCCCAAAGTCCAGACACATGTGGAGCCACCTTATGCCAACAGGGAAGAGGCCAAACTGGCCGGGGTTTAGTGTCCAAACTGAATTAAAAATATGAAAAACAATTAAAGATTTAAGAGAATTTTAAAAATCATAGAATCCCAGAATGGTTTGGGTGGGAAGGCACCTTGAAGCACATCCAGTCCCACACCCTGCCATGGGCTGGGACAATTTCCATTATCCCAGGTGGCTCCAAGTCCTGTCCAACCTTGCCTGGAACACTTCCAGGGATGGAGCATCCACAATATTTTGCTGTAGAGTGGTTACTTACAATGGGAACAGGAATCCCGTGACTTTCCTTTACATCTAAATACACAAAACAGACAGAAAATGAGTCAGACCTGCAGAGTGCTGAGCCCTGTTGCTCAAACCTCTGAACACCAAACCAAAATAAAAAAAAGGCAAAGTTATGACTCCTCCTAAACACCCCCCAGAAGAGCCAAAAACTTATTTCCTGAAAAAACTATTTATTTGTTTAACATAAAATATCTAATGTGGACTTCAACTCTCCAATGCCACATTGGGAAACAGGAACCAGAGGAGTATTTTACAACAAGCTTGAAATACACCAAGTTTTTCAACATTAAAATGTAAATCCAGCTTAGAAACTGTACATTCAGACATGGAAACATTCAGTGCTCTTTCAGCAAGTATTTGGGAATAACAAATCATTCCATCCAAGCACACTTGGGGAATTACATTCCCACGCCAGCTTGGCACATTGATATCTTGGACACTTGATATCTGAATAAATAAAACTGAATTCCACAATTCTGTTTGAATTCCAAAGGATCTCACTTTGCAGTTTGAAACGAAGCAGTTGCAGTAATTCCTTTGCCAGTGAAAAATATTCAGTGTGGAAAAGGATTCTTTGGGAGTTTATTTTGTACCTAAATGGTGCTGCCCTAGTGACAAAATCTGTTGGTGGTGATTTATAACTGGTGTGGGTCAACCCCAGTGTTCTCAGTGAACAAGCTAAAATGATCTTCTCTTATTAATTACATGCAAATTCCTGCAAATCCTGAATTCCAGCTCCATTTCTCCAGTGCCCACTGGGCTCTTGCTGAATTCAGCCAGGTGGGATCAGCTGTGGTGGGGCTCCTACCTCTCCCTTTCATCCAGCTGATCCAAAGCCCATGAATATCCACAGATTTTCCCAGATTTCAGTGAGCTTTGGATCAAACTTTAACAAAATCGAAGACCCAGCAACACCAATTTTGGTATTTCTATCATTAAATAGATTTTTTTAGTGCAGAATTTATACAAAGTGAAAAGCAAAAACGCCTTCCATTTTTTGGTTAACACTGTAAATGTCACAGGTTAAAACTGATCTATTCAACAGCATGGAAAATGTTGCATTCCTAATAAATCTTTACCTGGGAAGTAGCTTATCTGTAGGATCCAGCTGTGCATGAACAGATAAACTTCACCTAAAACTCTCTAAAGGCTGTTGAATGCAATTCTTTAAAACTGCTGAGCATTCACCTAAAAAAAAATGAAGTGAGATGTGAACATTAACCCTGGGAAAGCAGAAATTTAACTCAAGGCATTGAGTAACAAACTGGGCCACGGTGGGGGAGTTCCTTCAGGCCAGGCCTGTCCTGCACTTTGGATTCTCTGTCACCTCTACCCAGGCTCAATTCCAGAGTTTCGAGATGCAAACACAGCTCATGGCAAGCCCAAGGAAGGAAGCATGGAAGCACCTGGGGGGCTGGAATGGCCTCGAGGGCCTCCAGCAGCAGGAGGGTGAGGATGGAATGTCAGAGCTGCCACTGAGGGGTGAACAGCCCGACTGTGCAGAGGCAAACCCAGCTCCAGTCGATCCCAGCTCCAGTCGATCCCAGCCCAAAAGGTTTTCCAGCTCACTGGCCACACATGTGGGGTAATATCTGATTAAACCCATCCAGGATCTGCTCCAAGTGAAAGCAGAGAGGTTCCCAGTCCCTGGAAGTGTTCAAATCAGGTTTGGATGGGGCTTAGAACAACCTGGTCTAGTGGAAAGTGTCCCTGCCCACGGCAGGGGGTGGGATTGGATGAGCTTTAAGGTTCCCCCAACCCCAAATCACTTTGGAATTCTGGTATTCCATGAAACAAATCCCTCTGGCTCTGCTCCAGGCACACAGGGAGAATGAGCCAACTCCAGCCTGGCAGAAGGTGAACAAATGAGGTGTGGCTGCTGTCAGAGAGCCCCGTTTGTTTACTGGGATCAGCTGGAGCTTGATCTTGGTGGAGCATGAGGACACAGGGACACAAAGGGACCCAGCCCA